GCTGACGGCGTGATAAGGTGTCGCTTCTGCAAGAAAATCCGTTCATGCGTGGTATATCTCGCCGTATCTTCGAGATATACGAGATCCCACGGCTGGATCACGTCGGGACGGTTATATTATTTGTGAATGAAAAGACTTTTAGTGGTCGATGTACTATGCATTGAGTGGACTACTACATGATTTGATAAAGTATCGCAGTATCTATAAATATAAATATCACGACGGCGTTTTTAAATATAAGATGACGTTTAACGAGCTCTTACAATCACCGAAAGCTATCTGCAAATACTTTGTTAAAAATAGAATGTATAAAAATACTCCAATGTTTACCGTTCTTCAACGAAGCAAACACACGATATAGAGGGAGAGAGAGAAATAAAGTGTGTGTGTGTATATGTGCAATGCAAATAGCTATACTTTTCATTTTGCACACATGCAGATAAATTTTTAATCATATTTTAAACGCAATCTGACGTATTTATGGAGATATCGGAGTAGAAAATGGCCGCAATGCTCACGTGTTCGCGTTTGCAAACGGCGGATATGAATTCGCAGTTTAATTTGCGGAACGCCATGTTACTCTCGCGGCCAATTGTAAGAGTTTGCGAAAAATCGCGTGCAACTGCGCGTCAAAATCGATTGCGTAAGAAACGGTGCGACTGCGTCGATTATCGCGTTACATTGCCCGGGGATTATACGTGAACGATCATATTAGAGAAATAAAAAGCCAGAAAAGAGGAAGAAACAAAAAGAGAGATAGACCTAACACTCGATGACGACGACGCGTGGGTCTGCGTGTCTGTGCGAATAATTATTTCTAATTGGCCGATAACGCGGGGCGTAAGCACGAAGCGATAAAGTCAGCATGTTAAGAAACATATACTGTTGCATATTGCGGATACGAAACTAAGCGATATATAATACGCGACTTTTTACGATCGACTTTATAACGGCGACATAATGTCGCGATATCTTGCGCGATTTGACTTCTCCTCTTTTCTTCTTCTTTTTTTTTATAAACAACGAAAGAAAATGAGAGAAGTATACACGCGACTGTATACGTGCACAAGCCAGCGTCTTCTTCTTTGAAATAAGTTTATCGAAGCGCGATACTTCCTCTCCGCCGATCACGATACTTTCCCGACGAACTCGAGTCGAGACGCATTCTGCGTCTCTGAACTTTTTCTCTCCTTTTTATTCACGATCGTTGCGACTTAATGGCGCCGTAAAGCGTGCTTCGCGCACGAAGATCGTAATTTCATTAACGACGTGAAACCCCCGATGTTAACGACGTTACCCACGGGATATTCTCGACAAATCGAAAACATTGGTCGATTATCCGCGCCGTCCTTTTAGCTCTAACGACCAGATCGCGAACGCATCTCCGGTATCGACGTTGCCCATGAAGCGCGGCAACGCTTAAATCGCAGACATAATCACTGATAACGCAGTAGCTATTTCCGTCGGGTCGTACGTCGTATCCCTGATGAAAAATCTCCCGTGATAAAACGCGTGCCGCTTTTCCCAACAGATGCAATAAAATTTTACGGTGCAACGCGTCGCAGCGATCCCGCGGATGCGCCAACACTTTGAACGTTTGTGTCACGGATTTCCGCATTATATTACGTTAATTTGCAAAGAATCCATCTCATTACTTGTGCTCATTACTTGTTCAGCTTTACGTGAAAAGTCGACTAGGTTCAGTTGCCGGCACTTTGCCAGTTCTTAAGGCTCTTACGCGGATTTAATAAAATAGATTAAGATGTACAGGAGAATAAAAAAAAATAAATTAAAGTAAAGAAAATTACAGCCAATCAAAGCCACAACGCAGTTTTTAAGTGTGATTGTTAATTAGATTTTTTTTGTAAAACCGAATTATTTATTTTATGTAAGACCGAAAAATAATTCGGCGCGTGCATCTGATTTATATTTAACAACGAAAGCTTT